AAGAAAGTCTTCCGCATCGGAAAGTGTTACAGCTCACAGGTTTCCACAGCTAATGGTGCCATTCAAGGCTGCGCCATGTCCCTTTTGATGACAAATGCTATGTACTCAGTGTGGGCAGTCCTGGCAAAACAAGTTTCGCCACATGTTTCTTTAGCTACGTTTATTGACGATGCTAAATTCTGGGCCAGAGAGAAAGATGTGGCGGAACTTGGGTTGCTTTTTCAGAAATCTATGGAGTTTGATAAGGACATTGGACAGTACATCAACGAAGGTAAATCGACAGTTGTAGCCCCTTCCAAAAGCAAAGGCAAGCGCGCGGCCAATGTCATTTCCTCCAGGCTCAAAGTGAAAACATCGGTTCGGTCTCTAGGAATGTGGCACAACTTTTCAAAGAAAAGTGGGTCTAGTCTCCTGAAAAGCCGCATTTCTAAAGCCTTGCTTTCTCTTAAAAGAATCAGACAACTTCCTTTTACTGTTACCCAAAAGTTCCGGTATGTTCATGCTCATGTGCACTCCAAATGGGTGTTTGGTACCGAGATTCAACCACCCACCTTCCAACAGCTTAGGGATATTCGTAATGGGCTGCTAGGCGTCGCTTGGGGCAGCTCTAGACGAGTACGTTCCCACTTTTGCTCCCTCCCTTTAGCTTTCGACGTGAAGTTAGACCCCTTGTTTGCGTGGGCTAAACATGTTTGTTTCAAGCTTAGGTCTATGGGTAAAGCAAACCCTACACTCCTACTTCAAGCTTTAGGGTTGGCAGCAAAATGCAGTCAAGAACAGCTGAAAACGCGCAATGGCTTGCCAGTCACAATCGCCATTTTGTTTGACGTTTTGCAATGGCATATCGATGGTGAAGATTCCCGCTTGATTAACAATGCGAGTGGCTTGTCTTTTGACATTCTGCACGGAAGTGACGGGTGGTTCGAAAGGAACCTCGCTGAAGCCGTCGCGAACGCCTTGCTACGTAGCGAGCATGATCGGCAAGACTTCGAAGGACACCAAAATCACGGAGAACTTGATCTTGAAGCTACGCAGATGCTTCTGAATTCAACGTTAGCGTCGGACGACACCAGAGGGATCATGGCGTCGTACTTCGCTTTCAACAGAGATTTTTCACATTACCACAAACAGATGATACGAGCATTGCTGTCTGGTGGCCTTTATCTGGCTCCCAGATTGTTCAAAGCTGGTTTTACCCCTTCTGACAATTGTCCGTTTTGCGACTCGCAAGAATCTTACGAGCATGTGGTCTATTGCTGTGACGCGTACAACGATGAGCGCAGGTTGGTGGACGAACATCTTGAAAGAGAACCCCGCACGTCGTTGTTCACCGGAGTGGCATTTAAAGGTGCAGCTCGGACCAGCCTTGAAACATCAAGAACGGGTCGAATCTTTCGGCCGCGAATCACCAATAAGTGTTCTTGCGACAGAGTTTTCACAGACGGTGCTTGTTCTGTGGGAGTTTTGAACTCTGCCGGTAGTGGTATATTTGCAGAGGGCAAATTGAATGTTTCGGTCCCTCTGGTTGGACATGACCACACAGCACCTCGCGCAGAGCTTTGGGCGGTGATTCACGCCGTAGAGGCTACTGTAGGCAATGTTGAGATCGCTTCTGATTGTTTGTATGTCATCAATACTGCTACTTACCTGCTTCGGCATGGCCGTGAGGGGCTGCGACACTTGGACAACTTTGATCTCTGGTCCATTTTTTGTGAGGTTTGCGAAACGCATCAAGGTCATATTACCTTCCGCAAAGTCAAAGGTCATGCTAAATGGAAGGATGTTGTACATGATGCGTTCTTGCAACTTTGCAAAGAAGGCAATGACAATGCCGATAAGCTTGCATGCAATGCGGCACGTTGTGTGCTTCACCAACAAGCCAATGCGGAACACAAGCTCATCAGTAGCACCGCCATGTCCATTCAACTGTATTGGGTTCTTGTTCTTTGTAAGCGTAATGCTTTTAGTGACTTTCAAGACCCTGATTGGATGTCCAGTGCTATCGACAAGGAGTTACCAGCAGGCGTGGTCAAACGCTGTTCGTGCAAATGCCTGCCGCAGACTCGAATCCGTGGCAAGGTTTGCATTTGCCAAGGATGCAAAACGAGTAGCGTCACATATGGCTCGGAAGAGAATGCGTTCTATGAATGTATCTCTAAGAATGTTCGTATTCCTGACGCTCTTCGAGCAAAAGTTGCTACTCGGTACGCGTCGTACCAAGCCAAGTTGTGTCAGCAATGGCATTTTTCCAGCATCCCCCTAAACTCGTACTCTTCCTTAATCAAGGGACCCAGAAAGATTACCCCCTTTGCCGCGCAAGCCCTCGTAGAATACTTTAATGAACCGGTTTGGTACCGCACTGGCGTCAGGCAGGAGGGCTTAACTTGGGTTGAACTTACCATTGATTTCATTTCCAAGTATGGTTGCGTAGGGGGTTTTCTCGATGAAGGGGTTTGCATGAGCAAGCTCGCTGCCGCATTTCGCAATGCAGTGTTGAAGTTGTTCAAACAAAATCATGTGCCTGTGCAGCGGTTCAAAGACTTGAAGCGACTGTCGGCCTTTTCACCTGCAAAGGTTGCTGGAGTCGGACTTGCCAAGCAGTGGCATGACCCTGATTTTCTCATCGCGACTTTATTCAATCTACCTCACAGTTTAATGCAGTTGAAATGTAGTCCGAAGCCAGCCAGAAGCAGAGCCTACATGGCGTTGTGGGAGCCTTTATTCCCTTTTAGGAACTCCCCTTAAACGGAACATGATTCGCCACCGAAGAACTTAATTCATCGATCTCGAGCGTTGAATAGCTTTGCTCGTTGTTGCTCGCAACATTGTTCTCGAAAGCCCCGTGGGGCTGAGAGTGACTTGGCCAAAAATTATGGGTCCATTCGCGAACATTTTGTACAAAGGGAGTGCCCAGCCCAGCCACCTGGCTGGCCCAATGTACTCTATGTACCTATAATGTACAACGCGGCACCAATGCCACAGATCACCTTTTATGGGGCGGTCAACCGAGTCTTCTTTCGATCTGTCCTTTATCTCTATAAAGGAACACTGTACATCGCTTTTCGGCAATTGCTGTTACAATCTCAGCAGAAAGCCATCTTTTTTGATTGGCTCTGCACCGGTCGAGAAGATCGATTCCGAGTGAGTTCTACTCTTATTTCCGATTTGCGAGTGTTTCGTGTCATTTCACCCCTGGCTGATATGCCCTAATCATCTGATGGCGACGCTGAAAAATCACGGCTGATCGTAGAAGATCCATGTTTTCAACGATTTCACTGCTGAAATACCTCCGTAGTCTGTGGCTTTCAGTGGAGTGTACTGAGTACATCATGTCGGACCGGAGCCGATCTCGTTCTCCGCAGATTTCATGGCGTTTCTACTGGTCTAAAAGCACGGCAGCTGATGGTCAAGACCATTGGTGGAAAACGTGGTTCCCTGCAACACCGCACTGGATCCAAACTCGCCTCACTGCGGACAGGTTCTGGAGCTCAAGCTCATATCAGCCCGAGACTACCAGAGCTCCCTCCAATCGCACTGATTGCTCTGAGTCTCCTCGAAAAAGGAAGAGGAACACTTCTCCGTGAAAGTTCATTGCTGCATGCTTAATTCGGTCTTGCCAGCTTTCAAGCTGGCCATCAATTTCTTTAACAGTATGTAAGGCTGCGCACCCATCAATGGGACTCGCAACCACCATTGATCTGTGTTACACAGCACCGACTGGGCGGTAGTGTAAAAATGCGCCCTAATGTTCCTTGATACTGTGACGCCATCAAGGCTACCCCGCTATGCGGGGTGTGTGTGTGGAACACCTGTTTGCCAAGGTTTGCTGATTTGCATAGTTTGTGCAGGGGGGCAGTGAGCCTTCTATCATCCACTGCCCAACGAAGACGGTGATAGAAGTGCTGTGAAGCAATCTGGGACGCCAGATTGTGTACCTGCATTGGAATGGCACTGGGGCCAAGCCATAAACCCCATATGAGTGCAGTTTTGTTTAAGGCCAGAGGTAAAGCCTAAATCCTCTTAAAGTCCTACACCTCTGAATGATTCGACTGAACTTCTCGAGAGTTACATTAGTCCAGAGGGAGGATTGCACGAGTGTGTGTGTTGTGTGTGTTGTTTGTGACTGTAGATGTCTTTAATGACATGAGCCTTATGATGAAAGTTGCGATTACGAACCCTGCCAGAACCCATCGCTCCGGGAAGCTCTGGATGAGCCAGACTGGGGTGCTTCCCTTCTTGAAAGCTACCCTTACTGTCAAAGGAACACCGACACGCATACGGGGAAAATTCAGCGATGGGGGCCCGAAGGCGTCCTTCTTTAAGTTCGGAACCGGGTGCCTTCTGAGTGCCCTTGGCCAAAAACGCTGAATTACTGATTTTTGGCTCCTGGCTTGGGCGAGATCCCGGTCAATTGGTTGATCTTCTTCCTTGAATGCTGTATGTGCATAAGCATTCTATACATATATACATGTGTTCAACTTCTGTTCGGCACCACTGGTTCTGAGGTCTTGTGTTCCAACCGCTCCGCGTGTTGCATCGTTCTGAAAGTCGTTGTCGTCTTCAGCCGCCTGAGCCCCCAAAAACCGATTCCGCCTATATAAATTCCCCCAGGCCACCTGATACGATGTTCTGAACTGTGACATGCCGCACGCCGCGGGTGTTGTCAAAGGCTGCTTATGACCCCGAGACGAGACCTACTAGTACCTCTTGGAGATTTTCCCAGAGTCGTAGTGCTCGACCTCTGCAATGCTCGATTCCTGCTACGAACTTGATCTCATACTGGCATTCAGAACTTCAACATCCACTTCTACCTGCATTGGTTCAGGGCATTTGTTGTCTCGCTTCTTGCTAACCCTGCTTATGTTGTAAGCGACCATTTGTTATGGCCAACGCCACACTCACTACACCCTCCAGCCAGGAACCCATATTATGGTGGGGGAATAACGGTATGGAATGACGAACGGTACGCTTGGGCTTTTTCCAGCGGAAGCTGTACCGAGGCATTTGGATTTCACGAAGTCTGCGCCATGGCAGCACGGGGAGAAAAGGGAGAGAAGGCAGCTCAAGATTGCCCTAGGCCTATCGAGGAGGTGCCATTCCTAGAGCCGCTGGGTTCCTCCGGAGTCGTATTGTCATGCTGCCGTTCCATGATTCTCGTGACGTCTTGGGTGATGATATGATAGCGAGATTGATGCAGCACTGCCGGCGGCGATGGTATGGCAGGACGGCCAATGACGAAAACGATCACGCCAGTCGGGTAACGGCAATGATAAGAAGCATGGCTTCAGGAGTTGGGCAGTTTTTCGGCTTGCCACATTCGTGACGTCCAGCAAGATCCAATCTTTGGCTGCTACGAAGGAAGCACACCTCAATTCGCCCTTCCGTGAGCCCTATTAATTCTACAGGCCTAAACCCATATGGGTAGTTGTCACAATTATGGCCCCTTTTTGGGCACTGCAAAGTGCCCTATTATAATAAGGACCCAAAAACGGACCATAGTTTTGACAACCACCCATATACTAGAGCCCTAAGCCATGCTAAGTTTCCTAGCTCACACCGGCAGCTCGAAGGATTTGACCTCGGAGTACGGTGGTCTAAAAAATGATTACTGTAGATGGCTGAATAGTTCGTGATGTCAACATGTCGCAAATGAGGTGCGAGATGCACTGGAGACGGACAGCTTCCAGGCAGTCGGGCATAATCGGGACATATACCGCTGGTTTGCTCCAGGATTTAGATCCATATAACCTTTCAGGGCACCTCACTCACCGTGAAAGTGCCGCAACTATGTACGAACGTGCGTATGACCTTGGCCGTGGAACTCTCCATGTGTAAAGCTCGTGCAGACAAGCGCGAGCGAAACCCCAGCTAAGTCGCTAGTCCGAGTGATTTTAGTTCAAGTTGGACCATGAGCAGTGGGCAAATCTAGAGAAAGCAAGAGGCCACACACTGTGCCGAAGCGGAAGTCTTGCTATGCTCTTTTTAAAGACACTGTGCGGCGCAAGACTTTTGTGGGGTCCATGGTTTTGCAAGCCTCCATGTTTTCGTTGGTATGCTTTCTCAAGTCTTTAAGATCAACGGCTTGTTACACAAGATGCTTGTTTGCGTTGTTCTGGTGGACGAAGAGGAACTCTAGCCTGGGCGATCTGACGAAAAACTGCCAACCTATTGACCTCATCACGAATCCAGCGTCTTATGGGGTTGGTTTTTGCGTGTAGGGTTTCGTGCCATGTCGTGCTGAACACCAGGCTTACTTTCCACCAGGTGTGTACTGAAGACTGTAATGCACACCTGAGAGGTTCAGAGAGCATGGCCGTCTGAACTGAAGACCCTGCATATGTGGGCCCCTGAACCCTGATCCCCAAGCCCCCCCACCCCCTCCCCCCTCGAGATAAAACCGAAAATGGCTGCCGCAAAGATGGCGTTCAGAACCCCCTACCTTAACCCGGAACCTACCTTTTTAAGGACCTATACAAGGAAACCATAATAAGAAACCCTAAAAAGGTAGGTTATTCAGGGATAGGCTAGCCAGGCACCCGTCGCAGCTACTTCGGCCCCTTGGCTGAAGCCTGGTGCTAGGATGTTTTTCCCCGGTAGATGCTTCACTTGGAGGGTCGGGGGACTTAGTAAGTAGACTTATAAGTACCCTAAAGGGACCCTAATTGGGGTTATGGTACGTATAAGTCCCCAAAATAGCCAGTTACTAAGTCCCCCGACCCTCCAAGCAGGGTTTCGGGGACGAGCCGTGGAAAGCGGAAAGCGTCTACAGTGTACAGGCTGCAAAAGCTTGAACACCCGGTCTTGGGCTGCAGTGCCGGATGTTCAGCGGAGTCGGAATTTTTAGAGCTTCTTGGAAGGGTTTGCTTTCCAGGTCTGGTAGTCTGGTAGTACTCATATTATCTTGATGTGGTAGCTTATATGCACCTACGCTGAACAACCAAGGCCCTAAAAGATTTTCGGTCGTCTGGACACGTCCGAGTTGCGAGAGCGTAAACCGAAAATCTTACACCATTGCGCTGCACTCAACCTTTTTCAAGACTCCTTTGTTCGAGGATGACGGCCGGTTCTGGAATGTTTTGGATGGTGTGATCTGCTCTCTTAAGCATAGTTGTCTTGAAGTTGTAAAGGGATACTACGAGGGTTCCTAAACCCTAAACCCTAAGCCCTAAACCCTACTCGGTTTCTCTGAGGCTTTCTTGAACCAACAGTTGGAGTGTTCCATGGTTGCTCCGAGCCCTCCTCAATTCACATGCGGAGGGTCTGGAATCCTAGATCAACCCCTCCACGGCTTTCGGGGCCTATCTAAGCCTATCTAAAGTCTCGAGCCCTAAACCCTAAACCCTAAACCCAGCCCAAGCCCTAACTGTATCAAGCCCTAAACGCCATGCTTCCAGGCCCTGCATGACTTGACCTTGCGTGTCGCAGCAGCGGGCTGCGCACTTCAGGCAGAGTTGCTTGGCATCGAGTGGTGCGTGGATCCAGAGAAATGACATGAACTGTTCGGTTTGGGATGTTAAGCACGCAGGTTCGAGCCTCGCGCGTCGGCTGCTTCAGGTTGCGGATGTACCTCCATGAGTAGGGCTGAGCAGGGATGTCAGAAACACTCAAGAGGAGTCGTGGCTGCGCGTAAGCTCGACATCCAGCGTTCATGCGAAAGCTTCTCAGGCTCTTGGCTTTTGCGACCGTCTCCGATCTACTGGGGATGCCTCTTGTACAGAGGCAGGAACTCTTTCCAAGGATTGGGATATCGTACTACAACCCCGGCCCCTCCCGGAGATGCTGCAGAGCCGCTGATCGCGTATGTGAGGCACACCCAACGCAGGAACGACGGTATCAGCGCAACACCCCATTCCAACCCAACACTGAACCTGGCGAGCACAAGACCTACGGTGCTGCTGATCATGTTGAATATGGTCATGACCGTGCCTGCCAAGATCAACATCATAAGCATATTGTTCATGACGGTTCTGAAAACCCTAAACCCTTAACCCTTAAACCCTTAAACCTTAAACCCTAAACCCTAATGGCTTGGGAAGGCTGCCACAGCACACACTGCCTCGCTTCGAGTTTCATCCAGAGGGCTGCTGCCGTCGTGCCTCACCAGCAACCCCTCAGGCCCCATAGTAGTTCCTTTTTGGGGTTCATATATATATATATATATATATATATATATAATATATATATATATATATATATACAATATAGAATCTTATTAGGTAATCCCCAAAAGGGACCTACCCAGAGTCTCCATAGTAGTTCCCTTTTGGGGTTCATATGTAGAATCCTATTAGGTATTCTTAGACAGGAACTACTTTGGGGCCGATGGGACAGTCTGGGCTGCAGGCTGTAGCCAAGGGAGAATTACGCTGATGGGGATTGGTTTGGGTTCTACAGCATGACGGACTTCAAGGGTTCAGTGGGGGGGAGCTGCGCATGCTTTCTCCTAAGTCCTGCGATTACGAACAGCAGGACTTGGACTGACTGGTTGCATGTGGTTCAGCACCATTCATTCAATTTGCAAGCTTGTGTTATCATCATTGCAGATCTATCCAGAGACACCCGGTGTACTTAAGCGACATGAGACATGAACAAACAGACAGGCAGTCAACAGCACGCTTCAAACAAGACGGAGACGCACAAACGGAAAACGGAAGCAGACGTCTCCATGCAACAAGCACCAGCCGTCCGTCTCTCTCGCTCTCTTTGTCTCGCTCTCTTTCTCTCTCCTTCACTTTTACAGACACAGACCTTCACGCTGCCTGACGCTCAAGGCTATCATGTGCTGGCGGACCTCCTGGGACCCCGAATCGAGCGAGGCCCAGTGAGGCTACTTGAAGTCGGGGTGCCCTGGCTACAGTCGAGTTGAGGATGTCGTTTTGGGGAGGTTCCACTTTTGTGAATTCCTTGCACTTTACTTACGGTGGGTTAGACGGTTTTGGATCGGAACCTTCAGACGATGCTGAGGACAGTTGCCATAGAAGAAGTCAGTAGTCTGGAGACGGGGAGTACGAGGAGTTAGGGAGCCCTAAACCCTCAACCGTTGTACCATTCGCAGCTGCACAGCCAGGTCACTCTACACTCTTTCCATGTTCCCATGCCTCCTTCCCTTCTGCCCGGATGTGCTTTTCTGGCTTTACCAGGTAAACAATGCCCTCACTTCGGAGTCTTGGCTCAAGAATCAAGGCTTCAGTTGTGATTGTGAGTTTCGGATTTCAGCGTTGCAGGTTCAGCGTGGTTCAGGGCTGAAGCCCGGGAGGGTTCAGGATTTGTAGGTCTCAGCAGAACCATGAAGGACAAGGGCTAAGGCTGCAGAAGTAAAGCCTTGAAGTGAATAGAGCTGTAAGCAGAGCCCAGGCGCCTTCAAAAGAACCTTGAACCCTTTGTTTGTTCTGTTTCGGCCTCTATCTAGAACTTGTATGAACTTGTCCGAGCTCTGAGAGTCCAAAATCCTCAGGCCAATGGCCCACTGCCCCCCCCGCCCCCCTACCCCCGAAACCAAATCCCAAGCCTCGGGCAACTTGAGGAGTTCCTCCTCAACAAGTTCGCCAACCTCGAGTTCGCTCGGGGCTCGGGGAGGTTCGTCTCGAAGAGGTTGGGTCAAACCACAGGCGTGGTTGCTTGGGCTATGAGGTGCGCGAAGTTGTGCACCCGGACGGTAAGTATTCTCAGACATTTGTAACGTCTGTTTTTCGGCTGGCTTGAATGGGAACCTTTAGCTCTTCTCTTGACTAGGTGACTAGGGCCAAGAGAAGACCCTTATTCCCTTTTAAGGTTTAGGTTCTCTTATAACACCATTTCACCCCGAAAGGGCACCCTTTTTGTTCCTACTCTTGGGTCTAGTTGAACTCTCGACTCATACCTAGACCCCCAAAAGTAGGTAAACATAATGGCCCAAAACCTACAAAAGGCTATTAGTCTACATATTTTTGGGGTCCAAGTAGACCCTTACCGCCGAGCCGAGGGTTTCCAAACACAAACTCGTTCCAATCATCCGCCGAAACCGTCGAATACCCAGGACGGCGTCGATCCATACTTTGGTGTCGAAGACATCTACGTTGAGGATCGAATCGAGGTAGTTCTAGAGTCTAGAGCTTTGGAAGTGCCTTGTGTTGGACTTGCATGACCTGGTTTGACGGGACACGAGGGACTTTAGGTGCGAAAAAGGGGCGGTTTGCATTGGGTTTCTCCTGCAGAGTTTTGAATCCTTTGGTGTTGGCATGTTTCTGCCTTCGTGACCAACACTCCGCCGAGCCCATGGCAGGCCACTGCGCGGCTTCAGCGCTTTTCCGACAGGTCCAGGCGTCGCGGGGCGGGCGGTTTTTGTTTCAACAAGAAGCAGCTTCTTTACTCCTGCGTTGGCCTTGTAAGGGTCTGCTTGCAGTGGATGATCGCGGATACTGTTGTGCAATCATCAGAAAAATGGTCGACGGTAGTGATATAAGGCGCCTTAATAATTACCTATACCTTTTTGCTATAGCTAACTACTAGTAAGACTTCTGTAGTATATTGACTAGTTACCATTATACGAGTTATCTACTAGGCTAAATGACAGACAAGGCGGTTCTGGCGCCAGCCTAGAGGTCAGGGTATCTAGGGGGTTGCTTCTTCTCGAGTGTCGCAAAGCATTCAGGAGTTTCGAGAGGACCTATGGCCATAAAATTAAGATGCCAGAACCTTAAAGTTTCGCTTTCGCCCACACCGACCGGAGACGAGCAGAGCAAAGCGCGCTGTTATTAAATCCCGTAGCTGCAGACCTTGCTTTCGACTTGTCCGATTGTAGGACTTAAAAACCCGACAAAGTCTACAGCCTACTCGTTACACTCGAATAACCTTGTTTTTTCAATAGGAAGGGGTTGTGATAGAACAACAAAAACAGAGACTCCAATATCCCTTAATTAAGGAGTATTTACCTTAAATCCTACTAGGGTTCCTACTATAATTTAAGGTATATTCCTTAATTAAGGGATATTGGAGTCTCCTAAATCCTAAACCCTACATAGATCCCGTGTAGGACCCCTTAAAGGAACCCTTATAGGACCCCTTAAAGGAACCCTTATAGGACCCCTTAAAGGAACCCTTAATAGATCCCTTAAAGGAACCCTTATAGGATCCCTTAAAGGAGTCTCTGAGTCTCTTCGGGGACCCAGGCTCTGGCGACGCACCTCTGCGGCCGCCGCGTCGGAGTTGCTTGGGTTTGGGTTGCCATGAGATGGACGGTTGAATTCTTTGGGGTTTAGGTCTAGGTGCTTTAGGATCGCTGTGGAACTTATAGAGGTTGAGATCTACTTCGGAATTAGTGTTGGAAGTTGGGGGGCTTTGTTTGGTTTTATTGGCCGTCTCGCGTTGTTGGTTGCCTTTTGGAGGCGTACTGTTTAAGGGCATGGGGGCTTAAATGCCTTGACTTGGGTCTCAACATAGGCTGGTACGGTTTGAATTGTGGCAGATCCGTTGGGAAACTGGTGGCAACAGGATTTGTAGGTTTTAGGCGCAAGGGGACACAATTTGAAGCCTCGATCTCTGGGACATCTCCGATGTGTTTTGTGAAGGCCTTTGCCGAAGGGCATTGTAATTGAAGCTCGAGGCTTGCACAGCACACGCCCTGGTTCAACTATTCGTGAACCTTAAACCCTATAAGTTTGGTCCCTTACCCGCAGCGGCCGCTAGATGCTTGGCTGAGTGTTGGTCTCTCAAGGTTTGAACCGGCCACTTTCGACATCGTCTTCATCGATGGCTGCTTGACCGTGAACAGAACACAATGCCTAGCGTTGTTTTGGTTAGGGGTTTTGAGGCTTCGGAATGGGCTCCAAGTGGCGGAAAGCCTGGACACTGATGATGGCATTCAGCCAATACCCGGCTACTGACCCATGCACATCACGTACTGATGCTGATAAAGCTGACTAGTGACCACACCCTTGAATGAAAATCCCAGACGACGTGGGAGCAACAGCACGGTGATGCAAGAACATGACATCAGCAAGCACGTCTCATCGTAATTGACATGGGAGTGTTCCTCTCCATCGCCCGAGCAGCAGTCGCGGGTTGCTGCAGACTGGATGGAGCTCCTTTCAGAAGCTTTTAGTAGCAGCAGCCTGAAAATACAAGTTATGATATTGCTCCGTGAAACTACTGTGTTTGGATATTATATTGTCAAGCAAAGCGGCTAAACGATCGAGCATATCGCCAACTTTGGCCGTGATCCCATCTTCATATTCTCTGAAATGGCTTAGGGCACAGGGTTTGGGGCCTACAGCTTACATAGTTGCGGGTAAAGGGGCTGACATACTGGTGGTGTGTTGCTTGATTGTACGGGCTCCAGTTCTGCATCATTGACACCAGCTCAACTACGAGGCAGCCACACCAACTACAACACACATACACACACCCTTTGTGGTTTGCTTAATGGAAGGTAGGACGATTGCCCAGGCGATCACAGTCATGACGCCGTAGTGGAGGACCGACCACCCGACGAGCGCCCACGGATTGATATGCATAGGGTTTCTTGGAGACGCAATTTTCCGGAAGCTACGCACTGGCTAAAGACAGCATGGAACCTTCTGACTCTCGACATCGCACGGAGCAGATGACAGTGCCTCACGGTCTTGACAACATTATTGTTACATCACCTTGCCTAGCCCAGCTGGTATTTTCCTTAGGCCCTAGGAAGCTCCACAGACTTACAGCGCGTCAGGGATAAGTGTAAGGTGTATTGCCCTTGAGCAGCAATATCAGACCCGGCTTCCCCATGCCTCCAGGTCTTCTGAAGCTCCAGCTTCGCAACAGCAGTAGCAGTACAGTCGCAGTCGCAGTCGCAGTCGCAGTAGCAGTAGCAGTAGCAGTAGCAGTAGTAGTAGTAGTAGGAGGAGGAGTAGGAGTAGGAGTAGCGGTAGCGGTAGCAGTAGCGGTAGCAGTAGCGGTAGCGGTAGCGGTAGCGGTAGCGGTAGCAGCAGCAGCAGCAGTAGCAGTAGCAGTAGCAGTAGCAGAGCAGTCGCAGCAGCAGTAGCATTTTTATAGAGTCCCGGTACAACTACAGCGAAACCCCATTCTGATGATGAAGGCCCCTATATTACGGTACCTGTCTAGGGCTAAGGCGTTGGAAGCACAACGCGGCACTTTCTCTTTCAACCCCTTCCATAAGATAATAGAGTAGAGCAGAATACAGCATAATACACCATGTGACGTAGTGCAACGAATTGTTCGTATGCGTATGCACGTGTTGTCATTCCACACTTACATATACATAAATACATGTATATTTACATATACATTCGGTTTCGTAAGTGTGCGTATCATGAATACTGTGGATATACGCTTGAGAATATATACGCATACTCGCCATGCGGGAGCCAAAACAGAAAGGCATCTCTCTCTCTCTCTCTCTCTTTCTATATATGTGTGTGTGCATAAGTATAAGTACCAATAGGTTATATGTATATATATATATATATATATATATATATATATATATATATTTATTTAGATGTACATGTATTTGTACACATACATACATACACGCATGCATACACGCACACACGCATGCATAAATCCAACGTGCACTTATTTCTCACTCACTCTTCTCCCTCTCTGGCTGCATATGTATATACACCAATACATGTACGGATACACATAATATGTATACATGTCACTGAATATGCCTGCAGATCCCCAGCTCAGCAGGACCTCCGGATATGGCGGAGCCGTGTCCGGCCTGGTGGGTTGTTGGCAGGACTGCTACTACTACTACTACTACTTCTTCTTCTACTACGACTACCACTTCTGCTATTACTACTACACTACTACTGCTACTACTACTACTGCTGCACCAGTTGTAGGACAGGATTCCCACGGTAAGTATTCTCTGAAACTCCTCTAATCCCATGTCTTCTCTGAAACTGCCCTAGGCCCACGTCTTGGGCTTGCGACCCCACATGGTGTGCTCATAAGCCTCAATAGCGACTGGAGGCTTGAGGCATCGCCGGCGCGCCACAATCACAAACCCTGGCCCCAAGCTGTAGCCCTAAGAGCCCTCTCTTTGAGACCGAAACAGCTCACTGTAAATTACGATTTCTGGATATCCGAGACCCGTAATTAAACCTCTGCCACCAGCACATTTAATTTAAAAGACAAGTCTAATCTTTAAGTCAGAAGAATGCCGGAGGACACGATCTCTTCAATTTGGCCTTCGAGGGCGTTCTCGAGGTGCGCAAATCTACTGAGGGATGGGTCGCCAAGATGACGTTATCAAGATTGGGACCCGAACAAGGCAAACGAATGACATCACATCAACAGATGTACGTACATAAATGTGCGTGTACGCGTTTACGTGCCTAACTGCTTGCCTCCTTGCCTTCCTGCATACATGCAAAGTATGTGTGTGCACAATATCTACCTGTGTATATATATATATACATATATATATATATATATATATATCGATCTATCTATCTATCTATCTACATATATATATATACATATACACATGTACATGTGTGCGTGCATGCTTATACTTATGTACATGTATGTGTATGCACATAAAGAGCTGTATACATACATACATACATACATACAAATACATACATATATATATATATAGACATATCATGTACAGAGTGTGTGTGTGTGTGTGCACGGGTTTGCATTCATATCTATGTTTTTCTATGAGGACTTCCAACTTGATTGATCGTACTTCGAAGGATCGTCCTATCTCCGTCAAGAGATGTTTATAGAATGGCCATCGCAGCACCAGGTGTGCTGGTAATGTCCATGCTCTCCACTGCACAGTGTTTTGCCTGATGATGTGGCACTATCTCCTGAATCGTGATGACTTGCCCGAGGCTTTGGTGGAGGTTCTGGCAACACGCGAAGCGCCCGAGACGATCCACTTCAGTCACGACGCTTGCCCTGCCGGTGTGCTTTGCATGGATTTTGGGTTCGAAGGTGAAGGTTCGTTGAGAGTGGCACTGAATCTGCAAGCAATCCCGTAGCTTAGGCGTCACTGTGTAGGACAAAGATGCGAGGACTCTTCAGGCCAAAACAGGACAATGAGGTGGCAAAGGCGACGATGACTCACACATCGACGAACTAGTTGTGCTTGCTCTGTCTCTTTCGTTGCACACGCATCTGCTACTCCTTGCTTGTCTGCTGGTCGGCTCGAAGACGATTGGACGGCAACGACGGCGACAACGACGAGTTTCAAGCGTCGGTCGGTAGACTTCGATCCTAGCGGTGTAGCCCTGAACCCTGCGCCACCTTTCAGAAGCTCAGGAACGATCTAGCACAGGATTACAGGGTTCGGGTTCGCAGGGCAAATGGCTTATGGTTTAGCCTTTCGTTTTTGTGTCTCAGGGTGTAACAATTTGGGTTGACAGTTTAGGCACAGTTTCTCGACTGGAAGAAGCAGACGGTTCACTGTAGCAGCAGCATTGGTGGCTGGCATGATGTGGAGATAATAACCATAATACTACTAATACAAATGATAATAATAGTAATAATGATCATCTTACAAGAAGAAGTGATTCTGGGTTGGCCCTAAGCCCCAAAGTTCAGGACTTCGTTTGGTGGCTGCAGCTGTGAGAGTCGGGCAGCCAACTCGTTGAACGTAGAAGCGGCTGTAGGGTTTAGGGTTTAGGGGTTTAGGGGTTTAGGGTTGTGCATTTTCCCGGCTGATTGCAAGAGTCCTGGATGCAAAGTGATGCAAAAGGGTTTAGGGTCTGCCGGTTTCGTGTTTCTTGTTTCCGCCACGTCGCAGACGCCTATTAATGGCGCGCTTGGAATTCTTAAGGTATTCTAGGTCCTATAGGTGGTATCTCAAACGTCAGCAGGTCCAGAGTTCGTCTCGATGAATGCTTGCCTCAGCAGCGGAGGAAAAGCAACAGTTCCACTCTCTTCTCTTGCTTCTGGTGGTCAAAGTAGCACGGCACTATTGGAGAAATCAAGTGTTCACTAAGATGCAGGGCGCACTAAACCCCGTAGTAGCTGAGTGGATACACTTTAGACTTTTTGGGATAATACTACCCACTATAAAACTGAAAGTGTACACCTTTGGGGGGCTTATCAACTCAGCGATTAAAGACGAAGCAGTTCAAAAGCTGTTGCAGCCGAAAAGGCGCCCTGAAAGTGCACAGTTCTTGCAAGTTTCAGGATTCCCGTTGTTGAGGTTGTGGCTATGGTTTAGGGTGATACTCTATACAGGTCAGGGCTTTCGGGGTTTACTGTTTATCTTTGTGGCTTACTGGAATATGAGGGGTTTCCGAAAATAGGGGACCCTAATATACTACTCTAAGTAAATAAGGTACCCCCTATTTTGGCATCAGGACTTCAGGGTTTCGATGTTCACTCGCTGGCGAGTCAGAGGCATGTGCAGAGCAAGTTAAGGGCAGCAGCCATTACGAAAGCGCGCTTCAGTCATGCGGTCAGGTCTCACTGCTGGTGCATGCGCATCTATGTAGTCTGTCTATGAACCAACGTCGTCCAATGGTTGGCACTCGCACAGAAAACATATACATGTTTATTCGATTGTGGTTGCCTTCATGAACTAGCCACTGCTGTACGCGAATGTGACTATGTTACACGAGTGTATATGAGAGAGCGAGCAGGGCTGTGGCTACTTCGTCCCGGCACGTTTGAGACGACTGTTCCTGCCTGTTCTTATCCTTGTTCAGCTATGCGGCTGAACATAAGATAGGGAGGGCCGCAGTTTGGTGTGGTAAACTGATAAATCAAGACATACGATTGTGGTGGTGGCACGGTCGTACGAAAATGAGCGCTCGGCCTCGCTCGACGCTCGAGTCTCGACCGTCGCTCAGCATCGCTCGGCACTTGCCTTCGGTTGGCCCAAATGTCGGATGTCGCTTGTTTGTGCTCGGCGTCGTTCGCGCCAGGGAGGATTTCACAACGAGCCTCCCGACACACTCCAACGTACTTCGCCCCTTTCTCGGAGATCTATGTTGTACAAAACAGTAACACATTACCCAGAGGCTCCATAGTAAATCCTTTTTGGGATTACCTTATAGAAGTCTGAAATCTGAGCCCCAAAAGGAACTACCATGGAGCCTATGGGTATAGCAGCAGGCCGTAATGGAGTGGGGAGGCCTTTGTGTTGGCCCATTTGCGCCAAGGTTCTGGCCACAGGACGCTGGAGACCTTGCGATGCGTTGTGTTCAACTTGGGCTTCACCGGGGCGATGGGTTTTTTGGGTAGAGCGGCTCATTGCATTGACCGTCTTTGGGGCAAACTTAAAACCTGGCTCGAAGTCTTTCTTGCTGCTTCTGCTTGATTCATGCCTTGGCTACCGAGTAACGCCACGGACCCGGAAATCCACAATAATCTGCCCTGCGACCATAAACACCAAACCCCTTGAACTTAAACAATTGCCGAATATTGCCGAGAGCGAGTGTCAAAACATACGCTCTAATCAAGCCCCATCTCCCTACATTCTAAACCCCTATGAATCCTATGACGCAAAACTCTGGCCCTATTACTCTATCCTGCTTCAGCAACCTTTTAACCTGTTTCTTGGCTTTACACCCGAAGCGTCTTTCCAGGAGGTTCTTAGCTCCCTCCATTGGCCGGCAACAGCTGCGCGCTGAGTCTCCTCCTCAAAGGAGTGGTAGCAATTACCACAAGTGTAGGGCCTAGGGGTTTAGGCGAGAGTGGTTTACAGACCCTTAATGGATACTGGTAGTAACCCGTCTATAAGCCCTTAAAATAGCTTGTCTTCGGGTTCAGGGTTTAGATATCTTATAGATACTTGGTACTACGGGAGAAGCCAAAAGTTGGAAACCCAATAGCTTCAATCCTGAACAGTAATGTATAGGGTATCCCAGCACTATTTGGCCTTAGTCCGGTTTCCAACTTTATGGGGTTTACTGTAACCCCCCTGGAAGCCCTAAGTAGCTTGTCTTGGGGTTCCAGTTCGGAGTCTTAGTCAGAAGCCCTTTGATAGGCCTGAGAGTTAATTCTGCCCCAAGGGTAGATAAAGCTTTAGCTGGTTTAGGGTTCAGGGCTTTTGGTTTAGGGTTTCGGGTTCAGGGTTTCCGGTCTAGGGTTTGGGGCGTGTAGTCGTGTCTAAGTTGCTTGTTGAGGCTCGACCTCCACATGTGGGCACCTGTAATGCACAGCGGCCCACGCCACCCAGATGTTGCTCTACTGAACCCTGCAAACCCTAAAACCCTAAACCGTTTAAGGTCCACTGAACAGGCTTGTTAAGGGTCTGGGGAGTCCAGGGCTGACAGAACCCTGAACCCTACACCCTAAACCTTGAACCTAAACCCTAAACCCTGAACCTGAACCCTAATCCCTGAACCCTAAACCTTAAACCCTAAACCCCAAACTCTGCCCACGGAGGTGGAACAGATGGAGGCATACAGCCAGCAGATCCAAGAGTCCGCACGATGGGCTGCAAACTCAGCAACTGGGGTCATCCCCCGAAAGTCGGAACATGGGATAGGCATGATGGGTGCTGGGGTTCATATGTTTTTTTGCATGGGTATAATTATGGTATGTTCCGAGTTTTGGGCTGCCAAATTGCATGGCCGTTTCGCGCAACTGAGTCAACCCTAAACCCTAAACGAGCACAGTCGGTGAGCTGGAGGTCGCGCAGGTCGCCGATGTGTCGGAAGAGCGAGCTCGCCACTCCCCCGGTGTTGAGAGTGTAGCTGAACACGGTTTAGGGTTTAGAAACCCTAAACCCTAAACCGTTGATGATATAAATCCTGCATTACCCATAATAAGAAAGATACCATAATTCCCATAGTTTAGGGTCCTTGAAGGTAATGCAGGATTTATATCACCTTGCAGAAGCTCAGTCGCTCTTCGAATCCCAAAAGGCGACAGTTGTACAAAGGTTCAACTGAGCTTATCGCTAGAAGGAAGGTAAACTCTGATAGCATTCTTTGCTGTGCACCACACTGATGATTCGTGGTCCGTTTGTTGCTGTTTGAGGACGCAGCAGGTTTTTTCCTGAAGTCAGTTTGCCCCAGCAACAATCGCGATGAGTTGCAGAATAAACCTTGGGGTCACAATGCCCCAGAAGATATTACTACAGCACGTTTGAAGCAGCTGCTTGAAGGGCGGCTTGCTGATTTCGCTTTCATGAGGGGCCTGAAGGGCTTCAACCTCACGCGTTGTCTAGCGCTGCTAGACCCTCTGGATGCAACGGCAGAGAGAGAGAGAGAGTGGGAAGTAGCAGAATAGGCAGTCAGTTCCTATCTTGTTTCCTGCTGAAGACAACCAATTATCAGCAATGAAGAATTACTTTCACACACTGGCTGCGCAAAAAGACAACTCCATGTTGGCGCAAGGCTGGGCCGTTGGCGCCGTGATTTCCCGTTCCTTTGCCGCTGAGGAGGCGCAATCGTACCAGGTTCCAGGAAAGCAGTGAGAGTGTTTGAAAAATGTTCTCTCACCCCCCTTCCCCCGCACATCCCTGAGGATCAGGAACAAGCGTTGGAATATTGATTTTTTTTGGCGAGCTATGAGTTTGTGGCCTCTGTGTGTGTCTGTGTGTGTCTGTGTGTCTGTGTGGTTCTATTCCGCAAAGCAATAGTGGCAGGTTCCTGTTTCGGTTTGGTCGCCTGGTGATTTCTGTTTCCTGGACAGGTTTTGTTTGAGAGGGCATGTATGCAGAATCCAGAAGAAGGCGCGGTGAAGAAGCGTTCGCCACAACGTTTTGTTTGGACAGTGTTTGGACATTCAATGATGGCTTTGCAGCTCGTAGGCTGCCGAGTCAAATCCCCCAAGCTGTGCAAAACTCTCAACATACATTCTTCTTTGTTTGCAGTCTGTCGAACATCGTCCTCGAATCATTGACTGCAGCCCCAGCCACCGAACGAAAGTTGTCGCAGTCACGGATCACCCATATCCGTATCCTCAATACCCAAGTCTCTGTCGTGGCTGCTTTATCAGTATCTCTTTTGTAGAAGATCCTAACATGGGAAGAAAAGTATGGTACCAAGTTGGGACGTCAAGTCCGTCCCTTGCCATCCCTGTCGAACATGCCCCACCACACCCGGGAGCCAAAAGACCACATACAAACATATGGGAGTTTCCGAAAATAAGGGGTACCTTATTTTGGGGTCCTTATAATAAGGATCCTATTATTTAGGGTACTACATTAGGGTCGCCTATTGTCGGAAACCCCATATGGATTATGTTGTACTAAGCCTTCCCGGATGTGTTCTCCTGAAATCCGAAGCAGCAGGTCCGTGCCATGGTTCCCTTGGCAGCTACTTGGCCCAGAGCAAGCTTGGCTTCCGGATGTGTGTCAGCGAGCACGAGTATGTAAGCCCATAGACCCTATAGAGCCCCAGTAAAATCGAACTGTTCAGTCGCTTATTCTCAGTGTTTGAGTGGGAAGAATCGAGAGTTCAGGCGAGCCTGAAATCCTTGAGCTCGAGCATTATAAGTTTCCGGACCAGTACTGAACGTTCTGTGTCGCACTGGTGATTATGGTGTTGATGATGGCGATGGTGATGATCAGGATGATGGCTGATATGTCATGAGAAATGCACGAGTGGCTTTGGACTCGTTCTGTTGCTAGTCTTGGTTTTGGTATCTGACGGCTGAAGTTTGCTTTCCTTGCCCCTTGAGCTGGCTTACCCCCAATCGCAGTCTAAACCAAGAGCTACATAGAGTAATTGGGGTGTGAGGGGAGGTTTTTCTGTCAGTGTAAAAACGTGTGTGTATATATATATATAGATATATATGTACGTAGGACCTTTAGGGTCTATTTGGCGTTGGATTGTCTCTATAGAGACGTATTATAGCTTCCAGCATGCAGAATATAGTTTGATGTTATAAAAGTTGTTTAGATTCTTTAACTTTTAATAATTAAATCACCAAAGCTTTTTAAAATTTAAAACCCTAGGTCTTTTAGATTTTAACGATGTTTAAACAACCTAAATCACCCAAGCCTTTAAAGTTTACAACCCCGCAGCTTTTAAAGTTCAAAATTTAAAGAAATGGAAAAATAAATTCCTCTCAGCTGACCCTCCGGCCGCGAGCCCAGCCCAGACGATTTAATTTGTTCAAGTTCTTTGAATGCAAAACCCCAGGGCTTTTAGATTTGAAATAATTTAAAAAATACATCACCGAAGTTTGTTAAATCTAAAATCAGGGCTTTTAAAATTTAAAGAATTTCCGGGAGCCCAACCCAGGCTCCAGCCCAGTCCTCAGCCAGCAGGCCCCTGCGTCGTTGTCTTGGTTGAACTTCCACTTAAGCAAAGAACAAAGCCGGAATACCAAATAGACCCTAAGAGTCCATGCCACATTATATATATATAATGTATATTGGATTATAAGGCGACCGCTACAGGTTTGAAGAGTTGGTGGGCTCAGGGCGCTTGCAAAAACCCAGCGACACAGATACAGTCCCTGTGAATACTAGGATCAGGTACTTCTACTGCGACGACACTTTGCAACAGAACTCTACGGGTTGCACGAAAGGCAGAGGGCAACCAGCCTAGGACATCTTCAACCATAAGCCTCAGCAGCCGGCCGCCGTCGTTCAAGCCTCAGGTTTGATCGGTTGCTTCGGGGGCTTTATGTGTAAGTAGTTTCGGGATGTTTAATAGTGTGTTGGGTCGTTGCGGTCTGCAATGGAGGGTCAAGGAGAGTAGTTCCGTGCGGTCGGGAGAGAGTTGAACAGCTCGATTTTCCAGATGTCCTCACGCCGCACCTAGACTTACAAGGCGGTAGGTTCTGTCCGCGACCTTATTTGGTACTTCCCAGGCCCAAGGCGACGTGTCTGCGCCGTGGCCCCAGTGCATGAGATGGAGCATCCGGGGAGGTTCAATGTGGAGTTAAATAGTAGCCACTACTATTTTGGGTGTTCCTTGTCAGAAACACCCAGAGTTTAAAATACCCCTAACCCGTATTCAAGGCCCTTGTTAGGTAGGGTTGGATTTTATGGTTTTTCTCATGGTTTGGGCGTTCTGAAAGTCTAGAAAGCCCGAGCTGTGTGCAAAGGGCTGAGGGCCCGAAACGTGCGGCGAAGCGGCGAAGCCCAAGATCTACAAGGATTGGGGCTATGACTTTTTGGGTTGGGGGGTTAATGTTCTTGGACTCTTTGGGTTCGAGCTTCGAGGACCTTTCATGGGCGTTGAGGGTTTGGGGGATCGTTGGCTTCCGAGTGCCCTGAGTACGGTAGTTCCCCATGCTGTTGAGTTCATGATCCTCGAGCCAAGCCCCAATCCTAGGCCTTTGACCTGCGCAAAATGTCCTCCAGCACCAGCACCTTTAACCCTGCAGAAAATGGCGGCCAATGCGCCTGTGATTGTGAGCTTCGCATTCCCGAAGCTCTCCGACCCGATGTCCCGCAAAAGCAGTAGAGGTTTATTATCAACTTGTGAAGCGGCAACCTTTTCCGGGATTTTGTGGGGTTCAGGAATGTTGGGCATACCTAGTCATGACTGCAAGACTTGGGTTCAGATTCTTACCCAGACAACCTTGGACTGTGAGCCCCACCCCTCACCTTCCTCAATCCCGAACCTAGATTTGCATCCGTGGGGTGTAGGACTGGGGGTTCTTTAGACCAGCGTGCAATGGAACGCCTGAAGGTTACTTGAAGGCTCTCTGGCATTTGTGACGCGTCTCAGAAAGTAGCTGGATGTAGTTCTGGTAAATATCAACTGTGAAGGCAGTTGGGCTGCTTGCAGCCACCGGTGAGCCTTTGAGCAGGGTCCAAAACCCGCGGCACCAAGCTCTATGGTCCGTAATCCTCGGACTCAGCAGAACTCCAAGCCTCATACCCTGAACCCTACTTAAACCCTCGTCTTCTGCCATTGGTAAACCCTAAACCCTAAACCCCTACTATGTCCAGGATCGCTACAGACCTTGCCAGGCTTTGTCCGAGTGTGAGTGTCAAAAAAAACCCCTACTCTCAAAGCCCACACTGCAAACCCACATCACTACTCCCAAGGGCTTGGCGCCTCTCTGAGGATGGCTCACGCTTTGAGGCGCTACGAATTGGTTTCCCTGTGTAGGGCAGTTCCATTCGGAAATCAGGTTTCTCGGTTGCATGCTCAGAAGCTGGGGGCACTGTCACGAGCACAGTCCTAACTGGTAGTGGCAAACTACCAGGCGTCCTTGCGTGCAAGCCTGCAGCAAAAACGGGCATATCACGGGTAAGTCTCAGCATTCATGGCTTTAAAGCAATTGTTGTTTTGGGGTTCAGGGCTTTAGGGGTTTAGCGTTCAGGGCTTGCTGAGGGTTTATGGCATTTGTTGCTCAGACATTCGGGATGGAGGCTTGAGGGTTTACGGGGCCCGTAGTTGCATTTTGTCTTCAAATGTTTAGAACACAGAACGCTCGGATGTTTCGGCGAGCTGGCTGAGCTTGAGAAAGAGGTCAGGCTTTAGGGTTCATGGTTTGGGGTAGATTGCCTCAGCTTCTCATCGGACTCCTGAACACTTCGGCATCCTTCAGCCGAGGGGGAAGGTGGTGCGTTGAGAAGGCCTTTGGCGGAGAATGTTCAGTACTTCAGCTTGCGCCTTGTAGAGGACTTGGCTTCGCTATGCGCTTCGAAGTGGTAGTTGTACTTCCAGCATGCAAAAGTGTATGACGACATGTGGTAGCCTTGAGCCGTGCGCATGGTTACGGTGATGTGGGTAGTTGTCAAAATTAGGGCCCCTTTCTGGGTCCTTATTATACTACGGCACCTAATAGTTAGGGTGCCTAAAAGGGACAATAATTTTGACAACCACCCATGTCAGTTCCTGAGCAGGTCCGGGCTGTGGAGGATACCAATGTTGACGAGGCAAGGCCGGGAATAAAGCTGGTGCATTCTGACCTACACCTCAACTCATGATCCCAATTGGATGTGATTGTCTGCGAATGCAGAGAGAGCGTGCGAAAGACAGAGCCAGAGATAGAGAGGGAGAGCGAGAGGTAACGCGGCAGCGAAAATGAAAGAGCCGGAGCAAGGGAGAGATGAGCGGAAGGCGCGGGAGGGACGGGGGGAGCGAGTCGGGGAGGGAGGGAAGGCTCATTGTCGAACGGTTCAAGCTTTTGAGCAGCAGAGGGGCAAAACGGTAGACGCATCCACCGACTTCTTCGTGGCAAGTGTGCCCCGTGGTCCACTGCCGGGAAGTTCCTCATGAGGCTTGCATGCTTGACTGCATTCCTGGGGTCGTTGAGCTTGGTGCATTCAGCTACCAATGCTGAATGGGGCAACAGCATCAACATGGCAGGAATGCAGCGAACATTGAGTCAGAGGATGTCGAAAGAGTTCCTTCTGGTCTCCCTTGGCATTGACACCGCCACCAACAAGGTGAAGTTGCAGCAGAGCGTGCGTGACTTCAACAACACCTTGCATGCCTTGATCACGGGAGACGCCGTTCAAGGCATTGTTGCAGCACCCAATGCCCAAGTTGCGGAGAATCTTCAGGAGGTGCTGCGCCTTTGGGTGCCCTTCGAGACCCTGCTCACCAGCAGTGTGGATTCTGTTCGCTCAGCGGACGGCTCGATCAACATTCCCGTCCTCGAGGCCGTATCCTCGCAAAATGCTCCGCTGCTCGATGCTTCCAATGTGGTTGTTGGTGGGCTGGTGGCTGGGTTGTGCTTTCGGATATTTTTTAATTTCCCGTATTTCCTTATAAAGGGAACCTATACATAGATAAGTTCCAAAGGGTTTATAGCACAACCCAGGTGGATGCCGCCAAGGTGGCTGGAGCATCTACCAATGGTTTGGTCCAAGACATTGCTGGGCGACAGCGGACGTACATCCAGAGCCTGTGCCTGAAAGCCCTCCTCATCAGCCAGGGGGTCTCATTGTCCTCGAACAAGGCTTCGCTGAAAGAGACGAAGCTTCTCTTCGAAGACTCACATACTGGCATCATTGAAGGTGTGCCCTTCGCCGGCGTACCAGTGCTCACCAACATGTGCACGCTCCATCAGATGTCCGAGGTCACCTACTACTACTCGAGTTTCCGACCACTTGTGAATGAAATCCTGAACGCTCACACGGTCCAGTCCAGTCAGGAGACGGCTTTGCGCCTCGCACCGAACATCGCTAACCTCACCGAGCCCTTATTCGACTCCATGGTTTTGGCGGTGAAGTTCTTCAACAACAAGTCCATGACCTGCGATCCGATGTCTTCCATGTCAGATGAGGACTGGCGCTCCTTCATCGACACCTTGGGAAAGCTAAGACTCGAGACGCAGCAGGTGTCGCAGTACTTCATGCAGGTCGCCCTTGGGTCCAATGTGCATACCAGCAAGGTAGAGATCACGGTGATGATTTCGACGGCCTTGCAGCAGGTACGCAGCCTCCTCGAGGGACGAAAGGCAGAGGGGATCCCTGCCCCGCCAACACAGGGCGTGGTGGATCAGATGTTGATCGCAGCCGACACATGGAGTGTGCTTGAGACAGAGTTGACACAGGCGGTTCGTGCCGAGGCCGTCACTGCGATCATGGTAGACCGGGTTGCACTGCTCAGTGCTGACGTCCTCGACCAGCTCTCGACGGTCATGGAGATGACAGTGCAGGAAGCCTGGGTGGCCAGCCCAGCCACGCCCGCCTACCTGATGGATCTCACAAGCAAACAGGCGATGCGCTTGTTCAAGATGTCCAAGGAGGCGAGCCTGGCGCATTATGGAGTACAGGTTGATGTGAATTGGAGGGCCCTGAATGCAACGCGTGATGCGTTCCTGGCAGCACACAGGAAGCTTTTGCTGGGAGCTCCTGCTCAGAATGCCACCCCAGCTTTGCAGCAGCTCTCCCAGCTGTGCATCATTCGGCGCATGCGTGAGGTCGACGACTTCTACCAGCAACTCCAGGAATCTGCTCTTGCCGTCGCTCATGGCAGCTTCGAGGCTATGTCAGAGCTGAGCCAATTTGACGAGCATGCCCTCGACGCCATGTCCGCTGCTTCCAAGGTGGGTAGTTGTCAAAATTAGGGTCCCTTTTGGGTACCCAAAATAAATAAGTGCCATATTATATTAGGGACACAAAAAGGGACCATAGATTTGACAACCACCCAGGTGCTGGTGTCCGGAGCGTGCGAGAACAGGACGACGGAGGAGGTGGCACCGCTGTTGGCTTGGCTGGAGCTGCATCAGGCCCAAAGTGTCCAAGTCTCATTATGGTATACCCAGAGGCCCCAAAGTAGTTCCTTTTTGGGATTACCTACTAAGATTCTATATACGAACCCCAAAAAGGCACTACTTTGGGGCCTTTGGGTATATTTAAACCCCCCAAATACCCTATAAGTATATACCATGATGATACTTGGACCCTTTGGGAGGAGGCCGCAGACTTGTCGCGCCTCAGCCAGGATGCCACCGCTGCTTTCGTCATCGCCCAGGAGGAAGGTGGGAGTCTGCGAAAACTAGGGGTACCAGTACATTATTTTGGGGTCCTTATAATAAGGATCCTGCTATTGAGGGTACTATATATGGGCCCCCTATTTTCGGAAACTCCCAGGTGGTGGCAGCTTCACTTCGCTCAGCGCTGCGGCCGAAGATGTGAAGGCATCCTTCCACCGGCTTATGTTCGGGTCTTGGCAACCGCATGTGGCAGCACCGCCCACGCAAGCGCTCTTGGAGCATGTGATGTCCACAGTCGAACCTGCAGTGGAAAGGTTCACGCAGGCTTTGTCGGGAACGGACGTGCTCAATGTCGAAGCTGCAGGTGCGAGCTTGCTCGGCGTAGCGGAGGTGCTCCAGGCTAAGTATCTCGAAGGCGCTCGGGACTCTGATCCGATGTGGCCCGGCGCCAGGGTGGATGTACTGATGTCCCAAGCAGCCCTTGCAAGTAGAGTTCACAAAGAAGCTTTATTGCACGTCTACGGCTTCAGGAAGTCGGATGCCGAATTGTCATCTGCCATTAGCGAGTTTGAGACGTCCCATCAACATCTTAAAGATGGTGGGGGAGGTTTGGAGCCAGTGATCGCAGAGCGCAAAGACATCCTGGCGCAGTGGGAGCAGATAAACCAGGCATGGGTGTCTTTGAAGAGCCAGGCGCTTTCCGTCACCAGTGAAGACACTTGGAGGGTTGAGGATGCCATGACGCAGGTGATCTCGCAAATCCAAGTCGCCATCCCACTCTATGGCATGGAGGATGTTGAAGCACCTGAGTCTTTCCCCTGGACATCTGCCATCTACATAAGTGTAGCAGCTTGCCTGGTATGTTGCTGCTGTACCATCGCCTACTGCCAGTGGGCCAAAGACCGTAGCCGGGACCAGTCCTCCGACAAGGAGAAGCAAGGCGGTAAGAGAGGGACTCTCTCGGACGAGGTTTGACATGATCTGAGCATGAATATTACATTTTGTTATCTTTGTTATTATGATTATTATGTCATACTTTATATGATATGTCATCTGATAGTATATTTCATTAGTGTATGTACGCTGACCTCGCCAATTCTGTTTTCGTCGTTGGCTCCCTCGGAAAGGATTAGATGGCCTAGCAGCTTAACCAAAGCGGATGCACCATCTCAATGCTAAGAAGTAGGGCGAGGGTTGTCTAGTCCGGACATTTTTGTTGTACAAGCTGCCCGGGCGTTTGTCTTGTCGAACCGGATGATTTCATGTCAGGTGCCTTGTAGTATTCTAGCTGCCCGACGTACTTTGAGGCTGACTAGGGATCTGTTCATCCGCCTCGACAAGGGACATATCGCTCGGCTCACCACGTTTTACAAGTACGCAGAGACTCCCAATATCCCATCATTAAGGAATATACCTTAAATTGAATTATATAGTAGGATCCCTAAATTACAGTAGGATCCCTAATATGATTCATAAGGCATATATTCCTTAATTAAGGGATATTGGAGTCTCTGGGGAGGGAGATCGCAGAGGTCTATCCTTCAGGCTCAGAGATCGTAAAGTTCTCTGGCCCCCGTAAGACTAAATGCTATAGGGACCCAAATAGCTACCAATAACTGTAGCATACTGTAGCATAATGGGCCCCGAAACCCGTTCCAATTATTAAGGCCCCTTATAGTATTCGTTTTCAACGAAGCAGAAGCCTGGCATGTGGTTTTCTCGGCAAGAGCCGCAGGTACAATGCGCAAATTGTGTATAAGATACAGAACCACAGCCAATCAGCGGGCTGTGCGCAGTCATGCTGAGGGCTTCTGTTTTTCAAGTCGTAAAGTGCCTGCTTTCGGTACCTTGATAGAAGGAACAGCAGGTCGTCGACGCTTCATTTCAAGGTGGCTGAAGCCACAACCGGGAGCCCTGAAACATTACCTCCACGGGTTGCTCCACAGTATAGTGACCCCCAGAAAGTTGGAACATGGATTTAGGGTGATTCATGCTGGGATTCCCTAAACTTTACTTTAAGGGCATGAGGCTAATGACCTTCCAACTTTCTGGCTTCTACTGTAAGCTGATAAGGAATGAGGCAACGAATCTCGCAAGGGCTCGCGGAAGCATCCTGCGCTATCTTTAAATGGGAGTTTCCGAAGACAGGGGACCCTAATATAGTACCCTTAACAGTAGGATCCTTATTACAAGGACCCCAAAATAAGGTACCCCTAATTTTCGGAAGCTCCCAAATTGTGTTTGGATGTGGGCTTCGGCTTGGCTGCCGGTGACACCAAGGATGCCAAAGGCAATCCTTTTTACACACCGACTGCCGACTCCGCACTCTGCACCGCCCATGCCGACAGAGACGGGGAGCTTTTCCTGCACACAGCAGAGACTGCGTGTTTCCAGTTCCCAAGAGCTGAAAGCGGTTCTTGGGCAACCTACGTAACCTCTGAATGGGCAAGAGATTTGGTATGACGTCCGGGAGGTCTCAGTTGCTATGTGGAAAATCGTGGAGAGACATCTCTTGCTGTGTGCGACAGACATGAAGAAATGTTTTGCATGTTACCTCCCGAGAATGCATGTCTACCGCCTTCAACTCTACACGCAATGCTTTCCACCGAAACCCCCCGAAACCCGGCTACGCCGTGAGAGCGTTCAGGAGGTGCTGATTTCCTACGGCGAGGAGACGTCTGCTGGGGGCTTGTCAGACGGCTGTAGGCATAGTTCTGCGGGCTTTTGAACGTTGGGGGCTACTGCCACCCTAAACCCTAAACCCCTATAACTACACCGGTTAGTTATGTTCTTCGAACTGGTATCTGCTTGCTGGCCGACGTTAGTTGAGATACAGTGGACTATGTGGAGCCTTGCCTGCCTTGTGCGAGTGTGAGCGTCGAAACCCTAATTACACCCCCAAACACTGCCACTGCCGGCATGCTTCTACCACCCGTGCTAACGTCGAGTTCAGATCCAGATCGGGCCAGCCTGGCATTGGATAAAAATGGGCCCGCACAGCCCACTCCTGCCCTTCTTGCACTACACCTGGCTACTATAGGGGCCTAGATAACTACCTTTGGCTGTTTTATGGGTTCCCTATATTAGTTGCAGTCTTATGTACCACCAAAAGCCTGTTCTTATTATTAAGGCCCCTAAATAAAGGTCGGCTGTTTCGGCTTGCGGCTCTCAGAGACAAGGCCATGCAATGACACGACATGGGTTCATAAAGAGAGCCCTTATAGATCCCTTAAAGGAACCCTTATAGATCCCCATTATGGTAACGATTGAACTAGATTCCTCAATAGTGGTTCATACATGTTCATATCCTGGGAACTGTTTGTAAAGATTTTGTTTGCGAGGATTTTCTACGACCCCGTGAGAGATCCAGTCCGGACGATAGCATTTCAGGTGGCGAAGCCGGACATGACACCGTGCACAGTTAGTTCACACTCCCGGGGTTCATTTCCAACAGAGTTCATGACAAAAACGATGGCGACCGCCATATCCAAACGACGCGCTCATCCACTTAGCTGCCTGCTCCTCCTGTTGCTCGGCGATGGAAGAGCCCAAGTAAACCCGGCCCTAAATCCTAAACCGGGCAAAGACGATTGCTTGTTCCAAAGCGAGTCGCAGTCTCAAGGCATCCTGAACCCGTGACAAACCCAAAGGGTCCAAGTATCATCATGGTATATACTTACAGGGTATTTTGGGGGTCTAAATATATACCATAATGATACTTGGACCCTTTGGGAAACAAGGTGCACACGCCTAAGCCCTGAACTCTCGACTGCCGGTGGCGCTGTGTTCAATTGCAAGGGCTTATTTGCTGGTGTAGGGGTTTGGATGGTCCTGGGTGATCGTGAACCACTTGGACCAGATACCCGGAACCCCAAAGATCTTACCCAGATCAGGAATTTGCATGGTTTGGTTGCTTGTCCTTTGGTGGTGCTGAAAGGATGATGACTTGCTTCGGGCCTCTTGAGCTTTCATCCCGGATTTTTGCAACTTGTGAATCCTTATATGTTGCGGGTTGCCAAACGCCGGTCATGATGTCCGTCAGCAAGCCTACCAGGCCGTCGCATATGCTCTCGCCCAGAGTGTCCGAGAATAAGCTCCCAAAGTCCTTGGCTAATGCTAGGCGAAACCCGCCTGAAGAGCAATTGCGGCGTTCTTAACTTCCTCGATCCCTACTGTGGTACACTAAGCCATAACCTAAACCCGATAAACCACAAGCTTCGTGAGGCCAATGTGTGCCGTATTGTGCCCTTGTTCTTCTCGCAGTGTGCCGCGCAAAGGAAGCAGAAGAAACTCTTTGGGGAAAACATCCTGACTGCTCAATACGCGATACCTGAAGAATCAGCACCCTGATAGTTGCTAGGCGACGATTGTCCTCAACAGCATGTCCCATATCATCGGGTGTTTCCGGAAAAGGCCACGAGTCACTGGTGTTAGAAAGCCCCGCTCGCTTTTGCAGGCCTATTAACTGGCCCTGCAGAGGCTGCATGTCACAGTGCCTTTGGCCCTAAATGCAGAGACCCCTACACTTACCCTTGGTTAGTAGGGAATGGAGGAATGGGGTACAACTACTATTACTACTATTCTTCCATTCCCAACTAACCAAAGGTAAGTACAAACCCCAACTGGAGCCTGGCCTTCCTTGTGCGAGAGTGACAGTCGAAAAAAAACAACTCCTCAGCCCTAAACCCTACCCAGAGGCCCCAAAGTAGTTCCTTTTTGGGATTACCTAATACGATTCTATATACGACCCCAAAAAGGAACTATTTTGGGACCTTAGGGTAAACCCTACAGCCCAAGGCTTAGCGTGCCTTTGCTTCGGAGCCCCGGCCGCGCCAATGTCGCGGCCGGCCAAGCGGCCGGCAATGAAGCGGCACTCCGATGATCTACTTTGTACTTGACAGTTTAGGGATTTGGGGTTTTGGTTTAGGGTTTAGGGTTACTGCAGTCAGGCCGTGGTGAAACGGGTTTAAGGTAGTAGAAGGGGTTGCTAAATGGATTACTGATAAGAGGCTCTATGCAGGTTGCTATAGGCGTTCAAGGGGTGCCTACAGGATTATAGTAGGACCGGGGGTTTCTACAAGGGTTGTCAGCAGGGGTTTGTAGTATTTAATGTAAGGGCCTGAAGTGGCCTGAATGAATACCAATATTGTATGCCCTAAAATCCCTCAGCCCTACACTCCCTAAACTCGAAGCCCCCAGAAGTCAGGTACTTGCCGGCGCCATGCCACGAGTCTTCGCAGCATCCAGGCCCTTTGCAATCTCGGGGGGCAAGCTGTCAAATTGAGCTTTAGGGTTTAAGGTTTTGTGTCTTTTGCTTAGGTCCAGTTTAAAGCCCAGGGGGTCGCCAATATGCCTGGATGCAAAAGTAATCTTTCTGGACTTCCAGGGTTTGGTGTTTCTGTCTAGAGTTCAGGCGGATGAAGTTTTTAACCTCTACAGAGGCTCTGGGATCCAATATGTATAGGAAAACGCACGGGATCAGGGTTTAGCTGATGCGTGGCTAGGATGAACCTGTCAGAAACTGTTTGAGGCCACGTTCTCTATGTGCCCGATAGTAGTAGGTAGTAGTAGCCGTAGTAGTAGTAGTAGTATTAGTAGTAGTATTATTATTATTACTATTATTATTATTAGTAGTAGTAGTAGTAGTAGTAGCGGTAGTAGTAGTCGTCGTAGTAGTAGTAGTGGTAGTAGTGCAGTGGTAGTAGTAGTAGTCGTCGTCGTAGTAGTAGTAGCAGTAGCAGTAGCAGTAGCAGTAGCAGTAGCAGTAGCAGTAGCAGTAGCAGTAGCAGTAGCAGTAGCAGTAGCAGTAGCAGTAGTGGTAGTGGTAGTGGTAGTGGTAGTGGTAGTAGTGTAGTGGTGGTAGTAGTAGTAGTAGTCGTAGTAGTCGTAGTAGTCGTAGTAGTAGTAGTAGTAGCAGGGCTAGTAGTAGTTACCCCGAATTTTCTTGAAGCGCCGAAGCGACCAAAAGGTAGACA